CCCCCCCCGCAGGAGACACCAATGGTCCCTCCCTCCTCCATGGCGGGCATCATTGAACAAAATCATGCTGCTCTTCCCTTCTCAGCCTGGCCAAGTCCCAGGACCCTCAACGCTGCACCCCATGTGGCCACTGCCAAGCAAGTGACATTGGCAGCTCTCTAAACCCACCCCACCATCCCAGACCTCTACTATGACAATGACAGACACATCATCCGGGCCTTGCCCCAGGGTTTCCACAGACCAACCCACTGAACCCTCCCGCCAACCCCCCAGCTGGGAGGCAGGACTATTCTCTTTCAAGATGAAGAAACTGAGGCACAAGAAAATTAAACCATTTGTCCCGATTCACCCAACCAGCAACAGAACTTTCTCCACCGCTGAAGACGTTCCACATCCAGGCCCTCCGCACACGGCCGCCGGCCTCACGTGGCTTCTGCAACCAAGGGGCTGCTTGTTTGTTTTTTGCTTTCAGGGTACTGGGGACTGAACCCAGGGCTACCACCGAGCTACACCAGCCGTTTTAGAGGTTTTGGTTTTGTTTTTTTGAGACAGGGTCTCGCCAAGTTGCCATGCCTAGCCTTGAACTTGATCCTCCTGCCTCGGTTCCCTTGAGTGGCTGGGATTAGAGGCGTGCACCGCCATGCCGGCTCTGAGATACTATTTCCAAACCGTGTTCCAGGTTCTCTCCACCAGTAACCCTTAGCAGATGGTCCCTCCAGCTTTATAGGAAGGGCTCGCAGCTGGGATTATGATTTTTTAAATTCTATTTAATTTTCATTATGTTAAACAGCCGCTAGTGTTCAGCAGCTCCCAATATGCACAAGCGGTTGGAGGGTCCTTTTGCAAACAGTTCCTGGACCTGCGGTATCCACCTCACCCAGGAATTCGTTAAAATGCAAATTCTTCAGCCCCAGCCCGGATCCACTGAGTCCACTTCCTTGGTCCCTGCATTCTAACCCTTCAGGGGATTCTGAGGCTTGCTCAAATTTAAAAACCTCTCTCTAGCTCCCAACCCCCCCCCCTTGCAAGGAAAACTTCTAAAAATTTCCCATGGCAGAGGCAGTGCCCAGAACAACAAAATCTGCCCAGGGAGTTGTACTGTGCTGGAACCTCAGCTACTAACCACACGAAACCCATTTGCATTCAGGGAGATAAATGGACCCACACCTGTCTCCCACCTGCAAAAAAAAACGCCCTCTCCTCCCACTCCCTGAAGGCCCAGGGAGCTCAGTGGCCCCTTTGTTCCTGCAGAGCTGAAGGAGAAAGGAAACCAATTCTGCTATGCAAATTCAGCGCTATCCACCCAGCGGGCAGTGAGGGAAAGAAAAGTCCGTGCTGGTGAGGAGGTGGGGAAAACCGAACCTCTCAGGGTGTCCCCCGCCATGGAAAACAGGACAGCACTCCTCCAGGTGCCAAGGAGAATCACCACCACTGCAGCACCTGCGCTGCTCTGTGCAGACCCAGAGCAGAAGGTTGAGATGGCAGAGACCACCACCCCCCTGCTCACACAGCACACTCACCAGAGCGGAAAACCCGAGCACCCACCGTGGAAGAGCGGACAGACAAAATGTGGTAGGACAGACACACAGCACACCATCACCTGCCTCGAAAAGGAAGGAGATTCCAACTCAAGACAGGGGGACGGGCCTTGAAGACACTGCTCTGGGTGAACGGGGCGGAAAGACGGATGTCTCCCCATTCCACCCCGAAGAGGGGCTAAAGACATCAGAGACAGCACGGGGCTTCCAGGACTGGGGGAGGAGTGGGAGCTGCTCCTTAACGGCTCCAGAGTCTCAACTTGGAAAAAGAAAAATTTGTGGAGTGGACAGGGGTGGGGATCGGCTGCAGACTGGGAACGGCTTAACCCCACAGAACCACGTGCCTGAAGGAGGCTGCAAGGCGTCATCTTCTGCCACAATAAAGCAAAATTGAAATCTTATCTTTTTAATTGTAAAGTGACCAGTCAGGGTGAAGAAGGAAAGATTTCCCTGACTTTCAATAACACAATTTTTTAAAAAATTTCCAACAGGGGGACTACAAACCTTAGTGCCAACCTCAACAAGGGGGGCAGCTTTAGACAACTGGCCCCAGGGACCTCATGTAGAAAACGGGTCCCTACCTCGGCAGTGAGCTAAGAGCGTCCCACAAGTATGCCAGAGCTTTTTGGGGTTGGGGCTGCTAAGCAAGTTCTCCACAAAACCAGCGGCGTCCATTTTGCTTCTGCAGAAGTTAAGAACCAGAAGGTGGCTTGGGCCAAGCAAAGCCCCTGTGATTAGGGCTCCACCCAAACCAGGCCAGCTCCACGCCTGCCCTCGGGTCCTTGTGCTCCTCTGTGGCTGCTTGGTTTTCACAGCCAGTCAACTGACGTGGGTGTCAGGAAAGGGTGAGATATTGGCAGAGCTGAAAGGAGCAGTTCTTCACGGCTTCCTTGACCAAGCTCCCTTTGAAAAGCTCCCTCCTGTCCTCACGGAAAAGGTGGGATTGTCCACAGGTTGGCAGAGCAGCAGGGCTCAGCCACTGGGAGGGAGACGGAGCGCCTGACCAGGGCCCCATCCAGGACAGGACGCCCCCTCTGCTGAGGGCCTGGACCAGAGCGTGGAAAGGTGGGTCTCCACACAAGACCTGCAGAACCACCCCGGGCGACAGCGAGGTTTCCAATTCCTGGCCACATAAGAAGGAGGAGCAGAGTCTGAAACCAGTACAACAACCTCCTGCCACCACGGTGGGGACAGGGGTGGCCAGGATGGCTCTTTCTGTCACCCTTTGCCAGTGTCCATGGTGAATCACACAAACCACAGAGGAGGAAAACACAGCAGGGAGGCGCCCCCTCCAAGGCTGAAGGAAACCAGGGTGTACAAAATCTGCCAAATGGCCTCGCCGGCTCCAGCCCAGTGTCCCCAGAGGACGGCCATCTGTGCACAAGACAGGGAACATGGAGGGGAGGACGAGGGAGGGGACCCCAGAAGGAAGAAGCAAGGCAGGGGCTTCTGGCTGAGCTGATGTTCCCAGGACTTAACCACCTCATGGTTAATAGCTCCAAATCCTCCGTCACCGCACTGAGGGGAAGCCACAGAGGCCACCCAAAGCCCGACTTCAATGAGAGATGGACTCCGTAAGGACAGAAAGGCTCTTGGGAAGGCGAGGGAAGTGCTGGCTGTTGAGTTACTGCCTTGAGTATGACACAGATATTTCTAGACCAAGAATAAATGAAAAGGAAAAAAAATTAAAGGTCAAATGTGAAGCTAAAAAGAGAAAAATCATTGCAAAGGGCACAGAGCCCACCAGCTGAGCGCGAGTGCGCAATAAATAGCTTCCATCTTTTCATTATTAACAAGAACTGAATCATAACCCCCAAGAAAGAAAAGGAAAGGGGTCAACCCTGCCCAAAAGAAGGATATGCAAATTTAAGCAAAAATACACCCCTGCCTTTCACCCATCAGATTAACAGAGGGCAAGGTCCAATGCTGGGCTCCACGCCCAGGCACAGGTCTCACCAGCAACACTCAGCAGCCCATGTTGCCCCAGCAGGATTTGCAGAGCAGCGTTGTGGACAGTAACAACACAAGGATCAGGAACAACTCTGTCCCTTGATAAGGGAATGATGTTTGCAACGACACCACATTCAGCTAAGGAAAAACCAAAACCACATATTTGTTAAAGAAAAGAAAATGTCTAGCATAGAGCTGGGTGTGCCGACTGGGATACTCCACCAAGGTCCTATCCAGCACGCTGCCTGAGGTCGCCCAGCGTGCTTGCCCAGCCCGGCGCACAAGCCATGGCCAAGTAACTCTGTTTGCCCCTTCACGGTCAGCCTCGCTCCCACCACAAGCTGTAGGCGTGAGGGATCATGCGTCCCACTATTCCCAAGGTACAGAGGTGCTCAAGTGTCTGTGAATAGGGTCACGTCCTCTCTGAAGCTGGACTGGGATCCTCCCTGGAATGGAAGCTCAGCCCACACAGAATATACTGTCACCACTAAACTCAGCAGCCCTTCATGATATCCCTGAAGACATTAGGGATTCGGAGGAACCTGCCTCAGCAGCATAAAGGCTATAATATGAAAAACCAAAAGCCAACCTCAAGGTAAATGGGGAAAAACTGAAAGCACTTCCTTTAAAATCTGAGACAAGGATGTCCCCTCTCACCACTCCTGTTTTATATAGTGCTAGAAATTCGAGCCAGAGCAATTAGACAAGAAAAGGAAATTAAAGGGATAAAAATAGGAAAGAAAGACGACAAATCACGTCTTTCTTATCACGGTTTGCAGATGACAATAAGCCTGTACCTAGAAGATCCAGAAAACTGCACCAAAAGACTGAGAGGTTATAAACAATTGCACCAAAGGAGCAGGTTACAAAATCAACATACAAAAATCAATAGCTTCCCTATATACCAACAATGAATCTGCAGAGAAAGAAATCAGGAAAACAATTCCTTCACAATAACCTCAAAAAAATAATATATGTAGGAATAAACCTAACCAAGGAGGTAAAAGATCTCTACAGTTAAAAAAAAAAAAAAAAAAAAAACTATAAAACATTGAAAAAAGAAGTTGAAGGAGACCTCAGAAGATGGAAAGACCTTCCATGTTCGTGGAGAGAAGAATTAATATTGCTAAAATGGCCATATAGCGCATGGTGAAATGCCTGGAACGCACGTTTCTCAGGTCCATAGCTTATGTAGGCGGATCTTGCAACTACACCGGGTTCTACCCTTGGACCTTAAATCTCTGAGTGACCAGTACGTGAAGGACGAATTTAGGCGACATAAGATCATTGGTTCTGACGAGGCCCAGCGTTTCTTGCAGGAATGGGAGGTGTATGCATCAGTGTTATGGGAACAAGCTAATGAATACAGACAAAATTCAACTGAAAGAGCATGTTTTGGCACCTCCTTCCCAGAGGGAAAACTTAATGACTTTCGTGATGAGCAAATTGGACAGTTACAAGAACTGATGCGAGAAATTACTAAACCCAACAGGCAATTTAGTATCACGGAGTCTACAAAACGAAAATTTTAGTAAATACAGTAAAGTTTGACAAAATATAAAATTTAGAACCTTTTAATTATCATTGGATTTTTAAAGTTATTATTTCATCCTTACGTATTATTTTATTTTTGGCTTTTATGAATGCAGTATGTGGATCAGGATCACCAGCAGACAACTGGAAAACTTTAGGACATTGTTGGAATAGCAGTATTTACTGAATGAAATTTGATTTTGTGCATTAAATAAGGAAGCCTCCAAAATGAAATATTGAGAACTTTTTGTATACAAGTTTGTTTTAAATGCTGATGTCCAAGCATTAGAGATTTTCTTTTGCTACATCAGTCAAGTATATCATAATGAAAAATGTAGAATTTCAACAAGTTTATTAGATTGTCATTCTGAAAGTATCATTTCCACTTTAATAATTGCATAGATGATTATTCTGCATGTCTCCTTCTGACTCATTGTTTATTCACAATGAAATGTTAAAGAGAAGCTTTAATACTCAGTATTATATTATCATTTGCATACCAGATTATACAAAGTATAATAATGTTTCTACAGTATTTATAACAAAAGACCCTTCAAATAAAAAAAAATGGCCATATACCAAAAGTAATTACATCTAAAGACCAATGACATTCTTCACACAACTAAAAAAAAAAGCAGTCCTAAAATTCATGTGGAAGAATAAAAGACCCAGAGTAGCCAAAGCAATTTTAAGCCAAAAAAGCAATGCTGCGGTGATCAAAGTACACTATAGAGCTGTAGTAACAAAACTGCATGGTACTGGCACAAAAACAGACACATAGATCAATAGTACAGTACCAACAGAAGATAAAGAGATAAGTACAGTCACTAATCCTTGACAAAAGTAATATACATTGGAGAAAAGAGCCTTTTTAACAAACGGTGTTGGGACAACCAGTTATCCATAGGTAGAGGAATGAAATTAGACCCTTTTGTCTCACATTGCACAAAAGTAAACTCAAAACGGATCAAAGATTTCAGAATTTGACCAGAAACTATTCAACTTCTAGAAGAAAATACAGGGTCAACACTCCAACTTTCAAACACAGGCAACAACTTTCTTAGTAGGATCCCTGAAGCTCACGAAACAATTCCAAGAGTTAATTAATGGAATAGCATCAAATTAAGAAGTTTCTGCCAAGCAAAGTAAGCAATTAGGAATGTGAAGAGAGAATCTATCACGTGGGAGAAAATCTTTGCTAGCTACTCTTCTGACCTCTGTCTTAATATCCAGAATATATAAAAAAATTTTACACCAAAAAAAAAATGAAATAACCCAATTAATAACCGGGCAAATGGAATTAGACAAGTTCTCAAAAGAAACATAAATGGTCAATAAATACATGAAAAACAAAATTCAACATCATTAACATAGGAAATGCAAGTCAAAACTACATTGAAATCTCACTTCACAGCAGTCAGAACGGAAGTCATCAAGAATACAAATGATATATAAATGCTGAAGAGGATGTGGGGGGAAAAGGAACACCTTTATACTGTTGTGACAGCAAATCAGTACAATCACTGAGGAAATCAGTAGGATGTTTCCTCAAAAGACTAGGAATGGACCATAGGCCCCAGCTATACCAGTCCTCAGTATGTTTCCTGAAAGTTAAAGTAGGTCCTACTACAGATACATACATGCATCCCATGTTTATCGCATCACAATTTACAACAGAGAAAAATGAAATTATGGCATTTGTAGGGAAATGGAGGGAACTAGAGACTACCCTGTTAAGTGAAATAAGCCAGACTCAGAAATTAAGGTTCACATGTTTTCTGTAATATGTGGAAACTAGAGAGGAAAAAGGAAAAGAAACGGGGGGCGGGGGGGTCTCATGAAAATCCAAGGGAGACCAGTAGAGGAGAGGAGTGGAAGGCACCGAGGGAGGGGGTAAGTGCTGGGTATTGATAGTAGCCAGATTATATTGTCATATGGCGTGCATCTAAAAATATTAACAACAAATCCATCCATCTGTACAACGATGTGCACCAATAAAAAAATGTGGAGGAAAAAAAAAAAGAAAATTTTGTCACCATTAACCCCCAGCACCCAGCTTGGCATCTGGCCCTCCATCATCCAAGTGTGATCTCACAAGGACCTTGTCCACCACAAAGCATGCTCCAAGCCCCTTGGAACATTTGAAGAAAAAAATGAAAATTAGAGTCCATGGAAAACAGCAAAACTGTGCAAGAGTCTTACCTGTTTCTTCTGGTTTGATCTACAGAATAAATCTGCTTCCTCAGCCAACTGGAAAGAGATTGAGACAAACAAAAAAAGAAAGAAATTAGAAAATAGTGAAGTCTAAGCAAGTTCTAAGGGGCAGGGACAAAAGGAAGAGAAGCAAAAAGTATTTTAGGCCAGGTGTGGTGGCCCACACTGGTAATCCCAGCCACATGGAAGGCTGAGGCAGGAGGATGGCAAGTTATCAGCCAGCCTCAGCAACTTAGTGAAGCCCCAAGCAACTCGCAAGACAGTGTCGTTTCTAAATAAAACACAAAAAAGGGCTAGAGATGTGGCTCAGTGGTTCAGAGCCTCTGTGTTCAATCCCCAGTACCAAAAACAAAATAAGAAGTGTTTGGGCAGCTTGGGAAGAGGTTTCCCTATGGCTGAAGGCCTCCATTTGAGCCAAGAGGGCCCCTTCCACAAGGGGAGGCTGGGCTTCTGCGTAACTTGGTGTTTCCTTCTAATGACAGCTACTAGTCCTCAAATAGCTGGTGAAGAAAAACAGCAGAAGTGGGCCTTTGGTTTACTGGGGGCAGTACTCATGCTCAGATCCCACTGATACCCATCACCTTGAGAGACAATCCTGAGGGAGTGACAGGGGACAAACTCCAGTCCTGACTCTGGCTGCCTCGGTTTGGGCCACCTGCCCCCCACTGAGTCCTAACAGAAGGACGCCCTCCCGACCGCCACACCAGTGGAAGTTTCCATTTCAGTCCCGTTGCTCTGCTCACCGAAGGCCAAGGCTAAAGAGTAGCACGGGAGGCCCGACTGGAAGCACGGGAGAGCCCACAGTCCCACGCGCCCACGGCCCACAGGCTCCCAGTGCACCTCCAAGACGCAATGCCCCACCCCCTTCCCTTTAGCCCGTTGCCCAAGGAGTGGGCCAGCGAGGACAGAGACAGGTAAGCCAGGCACCTCTCGATGATGGTGGGGGTGGACGCACTCATCGCTTCTTGGTGCAAGATCTTCAAGCCAGAGAGCCACTTCATGGCGTCCTCCCTAGAGTCAGCTGGAGAGGGGACGGCACAGAAGCATCGTTAATCACTGGGAGACTCTGCCTGGAGCCCCAACCCCAGCAGAGTTACAGACCAGGGGGGGACGGGAGAGAGCTGCGCTGCCTTCCAGGTTGGCAGGACACCAGGGGCGTCTCCTTCACACCGTCACCGTCCTGGGGCCTGCTCCCGACTGAGACGAGGCTGCACTGGAGACGGGCCTCCTCCCACAGGCGGCAGAGGGGCTCCCCATACCACCTGGACCCGGCCGAGAGTGGCAGTGACTCCACAGAGGCCACTGCTGAACAGCTGGTGCCGTTCCGAGAGCCTCCCTGTATCTGCCTCCTCTTGAGGAGCCCACAAGGGGCGCGCCATCACCACCCCAGTGAGGAAAAACCGAGTCTAAGGTTCGGTGATGTGTCCAAGTCCACAGGGCTCCTAAGTGCCAAGAAGGACTGAAGGTGAGTCCTCCCAGAATTCCTGACGGGCCTTGGAGTGGGCATTTGGGGGTGACTAGACTGAGATGAGGTTATAGGGACCTGCAGCCCACCCCAACCCTAACCCTAATGGCGCCCGACTCTGGATAACAAGCTGAGGATCCGGAACTCCAAGCCAGGGGTGCTCAGACCCAGCTTCAGACAATCGCTTGGGTGGCCTTCCAAACTCCCAGGGCTTAGGCCCCACCCGAGATACCACTTCAGAAGGGGGGGCGGGCAACTCTCCCGGGGGTGCTAGTGGGAACACAGGCTGAGGTCTCAGGGCCTCTATCACAATCACGAGTTACCACAAACCCAGCGGGTTGAAGTAACACGGAGGTGTCTCTTTCCATTATGGAGGTCAAGTCCCCAACAGGTTGGCAGGGCCGCGCTCCTGCTCAGAGCCCTTGGGAGGGACCCTCCTTTCCTCTGGGGGCTGCCTGCACTCCTTGGCCGGGTCCAGCAGCACTCTGACTTCTGCGGCTGCACCTCTTCCCTCCCGTGATTACACTGGGTCCTGGCTAACCTGGGGTCACCTTCCCATGGAGACCTTAACTCAGTCACGTCTGCAAAGTCCCCGCCTCTGTGTCAGATGAAGCACGCACAGGCCGCGGGCATTGGGACGCGGACATCTCCGCAATGGAGGGCCTCTGGCTCAGGGCGTTAACTTCTTGTTTTGTCTCTTTGAAGACTTTTTGCTTTTAGCCCAGGGTGATGAATCAGAAGCAGGGCCGGGGAGATGTGCGCCACAATCCCGGCGCCCTCCATACACATTTCCTGTTTCCAAGGAGGCTGGCGGGAGGGGAGGTAGCACCCTGGACAGAGGGAAGCAGCAACAGGTGGCGCACAGGGCTTGACCTCTCTGCAAGAGGAGGCCGGCCCCTGCAGTCCATGACACCACGGCAGGGCTGTCCATGACACCTCGGCAGGGCTGTCCATGACACCTCGGCAGGGCGGCCATGGGCAGGCCACCTCACTGGCTCGGCCCCCTGAACCCTCAGGAGCAGGGAGCAGCACCGCGACACTCGCCATCCACCCACTAAGCACGTGCTGAGCACCGGCACCTGGTTCCCCTGCCAGGAGCACCCCAAGATCTCCACCCTCACTCCTTCCCCAGGATGAGGAGGAAGCCAGGCTCAGAAGGGCAAAGTGTCCCAGCGAGTGAACCAAGGTCATGAATTCAGGCCCTAGAAGGAACTCATGCCAGAGCTTGGCATGCGCTCAGCCCGCGTGTGGGGCTCCGTGGGTGTGGGGCTCCGTGGGTGTGGGGCTCCGTGGGCGTGGGGCTCCGTGGGCGTGGGGCTCCGTGGGCGTGGGGCTCCGTGGGCGTGGGGCTCCGTGGGCGTGGGGCTCCGTGGGCGTGGGGCTCCGTGGGCGTGGGGCTCTGTGGGCGTGGGGCTCCGTGGGCGTGGGGCTCCGTGGCTGGAGCTGTGAAGGCCCATGTCAAGGGGCCCCTGTGTGTGTACAACCGTGACTGAGGGGGAGAAAATAAATCCTGCTCAAGTAGACCCAGGGGGACCGTGACAGCCGAGCAGTGTGGGACGTCTGGTTAGGGTTGGCCAGCCCTTACTGATGGCTCTTGCCTAGCATCTTGTGTGCACTTGCTCTGAGAGAGATGTCAGTGGGGCGAAAAGAGGAAAGACGCCCAGTTGCTGCTGTCGCAGAGCTCACCGTCATAGTTGTACACACACAGAGGCTGGACCTTAAGCAACCACAGCTTCAGCCCTCTGTAAAGAGCCCACCCTCTCCATCTGCTCTCAGAAGACCAGAGGGGGCTCTTCTGCTTTGTGATGATGCACAGGGATGACCAGAAACCTCACGTCCGGATACGTGTGTCTGTG